CCTGTCTGCAGGAGGCCTGGGCTCCTGGGGACAGAGACTGCTCCAGCATCCGATCTCTTTTCCCCCCTCCCCAATGTTGCTGCTTCTGATACAGAGGCAGCAGTGCAGGGAGGGGGATAGGTGGCTGTGTGGAGCTGGTGCCCATGGGGAGCCAGCTTTTAAATTGGCTCCCCACTGAGCACTGGCTCCTGCTTCCCCTCCTCCTGCCTCTGTGGGAGGCAGTAAGTGGGAGGGGGCAGGCGCCACCACAGAGCCGGCATGAGGACAGAGCCATCTTAAAAGTTGGCTTCCTACACGTATTAGCTTCCATCTGCTTCCCCCTCTGATAGAGAGGCAGCAGTGTGGGACTTTGGGGAGGTGGGACACGACTAGTTGAGGGACTACTCGACTATCTGATAAGCTTTCGGATAGTCAAGTAGTCGCTTATATCCCTAGTTACACAGTTAACTGTGGGTCTGCTGGCTTTGCACTCCCGACTCCGGGGGCCTGCTGGCTGTTCCCATGGCGTTTAACCATTAACAGAAGCTGACAAATTATAGAAAACCCTACTCGCCAGACAAAAAAGGGACTTGCCACCACCACCGCGCAGGTGCGCACCACCCGGAGAACGGGACGACCAGGATGGTGTGTTTGCTTCTGTGATGGGGTGGGGCCACTCCGCAGCGGCGAGGATGACCTGCCCCGCACTTCAACGGCGCCGACCCCTCTGCTGCACGGGGACCATGGCGTTCTGTCAGCAGTCTGCACTGCTTGCTCCTGAGCGGCGTGCAGAGGGGCCGAGTCCTGGGACGGAAGCAGGGGTGGAGGAGGAGAGGCACCGGCGCAAGAGAGCGCTGCATGCAAAAGGGGAGAAGAGGAGAGCGGAAGAGAGGTGGGAGGAGGAGGAGAGTAACGGAGGGAGAGGGGAAAACAGAGGAGTGAGCTAGAAGACGGCGGTGGCCAGAGAAGAGGAGGGGGACGGGAGACGGAGGAGGTCAGAAGGTGGGAGTGGAGCGTGGGGGCAGAGGACGTGAAAGGAGAAGTGGCGGTAGGAAGCAGCTCAGAGCAGAGACACTAAGGAGCCCCGTCCTGGTCTGCTTCCTACCTCTGCTTCTCCTTTCACATCCTCTGCCCCCATGCTCTGCTCCACTCCCCGTCTCCCTCCTGCCTTCTCTGACCTCCTCCGCCTCCCGTCCACCTCCGCTCGCACCCTTCACTCCTCCGCCCACCGCCGTCTTCTAGCTCACTCCTCTGTTCTCCCCTCTTCCTCCGTTACTCTCCTCCGTCTCCTCACCCCTCTGCCTTCCTCTGCTGCTCTCCTTCTGAATGCGGCGCTCTCTTGCGCCGGCGCCTCTCCCCCTGAGATCAGGGACGCACGCACACTCTGGCCCCGCCCTACGCCCACGTGCGGCCTCGGCCCCTCTGCACACCGCTCAGCTGGGCGGCTGCGCGGGAGCAAGCGGCGCAGACCGCTGTCAGAACACCGCGCTGCCCGTGCAGCTTGGGGGTTGGCGCCGTTGAAGTGCGGGGCGGGTCGCCCTCGCTGCCGCGGGGCAGCTCCGCCCCGTCACAGCTCGCCAGCTGTCAAAATCTACTCGCTACGGGCAAGTGGATTTGTCGAGCCCTGCTGTTACGCATTAGCTTATCGGTTAACTGGTTAAACTCTTACATCCCTAGTCCAAGATGGAGTCTTTGCCAGCGGGACAGTCACATTGAACACTAGTTTGGGGGCAAGGGATATCCATTCTCTTTGAACCTTTATGATAAACACAGCTGTTCTCACAATATATGGTCGGTAGGCCTGGATACCTTTCTCGCTGTCCTTTCTCCCCCCATGGTTAGAGGTTGAGCTGAATTTTGGACCTTAGGAATTCTCCACCTGGTGATAATTGGTCAGAATGGCAGTAACACCTCCTGCCTCCAGGCAATGTGCGTGCAATATACCTGCACCATAGTATTTATGCTTCACCAGTTTCAGATGCATACTCTCCTGTGCCCCCATCCTGCAAAGACTTAAGCATGTGCTTGACTACTCACAATGCATAAAATCTTTGCAAGATCAGTTTCCAGTTACCTAAATTGGATTGGTGCCTATGTGCCCCACTATAAATATTAATACTCCACCCTAATAAAAGACCTACTCTCATTCCAGGTGGATTAGCTGTTAGTCATGTCACTGAGATGCTTGAGATGTATCATCAAAAGCTGCTTGGTTGACATAATTATATGTTTGAAGGGATTCAGTGCCGTTTTGGAGGGATTTTCTGGCGTGACGAGCTTATCAGGGCCTGGTGCTGTACCACTGATGTCACTGGGAGTTTTCAGTGTGGAGCAGAATGGGGACCTTGGATCTCTAGCTATTGAAAAGCTCTCTTATCCAATAATAATAACTAAGAGTGAAATGCCATGTTTGTGTTTCAGTTTCTTCAGCAGTATCATCACTACCAGTCCAATGTGGAGATTTTCAAACTCCAGCCAGATAAGCCCAGTAAGGAACTGGCTGAATTGGTGATGTTCCTGGCACAGGTAAAATTCCACAATTCTAGGAAAAGCCAACCCAATGAACTATTAAAGGTGACCTGCAAAACATTTCCTCCAAATGAAATAATTGTAAGCTATATACACCCTGCCAAAATATCTAGCAGCCAGTGGCAAGTAACTGGCACAAAGATTTTAATAATTTAGATCTTTAAATTCCTCTTCTCCTCCGTTGCTTTTGGTGGATTATGGTATAAAAATGGTAAATATAAAACATTTAAAAAACTGAGATGTTTGTTTAAAAAACCAAACAATAACTTAGTTGAGCCCTATTTGACAGACTACATTGCGCGACCAGAATTGTGAGTAGATGTGATGTTTTAGAATAATTCTGGGATGACATAGTGATGCTAAATGGCACTTATTACTTCATAATTACCTTATTTTTGGAATGAGTGTTGCAGATCACCTTTAAATGCATTGACCATACAGATTTTACAAAACTCTTTCTTAATCCTTTTAATTATTTAAGAAGTGAGCTTTTATGCTGGTATGTAATATGATCGAAACTTCAGCATTCTAGAAATTATGTGGATATGTTTCAGTTTATGAACAAGCTAGTCATTTTAATGTATGATAGTTAAGGAGAGTTTTTTAGAGTGTCAGATCTCTCAGGCAAATATATCATTGTGGCACTATTACAGTTTATTATGGGGACTTCAGTAACCCTTTTTTGTTAAACAGGTTGGGCAGTGCTATCCAGAACATCTTGTTGATTTTCCACAGCAGCTGAAAGATTTGCTTTCTTACAACCACACAGTTTTGGATGCCGATCTTCGAATGGCAAGTCTGACATTTAATACACTGATATGTATTGATAAGGTCTTTAAGAGGATTCTGGAGAGAATTGTATTTGACAGCATAAGAAAGGGCTTACATCAGTGGTGGGTAACCTGCAGGGCATATGCTGCCCATCAGGGTTCTATTTGTGGCCCACAAGACCTTTTTGTGTACCGTTGCCCACGTGCAGGGTTGCCGGATTCCACTGGTTTCCGTCCATGTCGGTTTTTTCCTACTAGTATTACTAAAGTCACACACATAGAGCAAGGGCACGTGAAGTGAGATGCATGCTGATTGCATGCAACATTTACTGTGAGAGCCGTCCATTCCCTCTGCAGCCAATGCGAGTGCTACGACGGTTCAGTTGGCACACCCTGCACATTTTAGGTATGCAAGTCTGTTAGTGAAACGACCCTGTCCCAGGAGACCATCTGGGTTACAACAGTTCTGTGGACCAGAGATGAAGGAGGGCCGCTCATGCAGCTCACTCACTAGTCTAGGTTGCCCATTGCTGGCTTACATTGTCCTAATGACGATTAATTTTGTGTGCCTCAGTTTCTCAGTGCCCGGCTTTCTGAAAATCAGGCTCCTTCAAGATGCCTCAAATTGAATATCCAAAAATTAAGGCCAGAGTGATCCTGTTGGTATGGGATCACCACACAGCAATTCTGGGCTCCTGTAGCACCTCATGGTCTGATTATTCAAAGATTGATGAACATGCTTAGTTTGCTGTCAGCTGTCTTGGTAACTTCACTGGGACTACTTGTTATATATACAATTAAGCACGGGTATAATTCTGAGTAGGATGTGGACCCGACATTTTTGCTTCTTTGTTGCAGACGTTTTGCAAAGCTCTGATCTTACTGAGAAACAAGAATCTAATAAATCCTACAAGTTTGCTGGAACTCTTCTTTGAACTCCTCCGCTGCCATGATAAACTTCTACGAAAAGTAAGCAGCAAAATAAGAACTGGTTTTAGATCCTCAGTGAGCTTCTTGTCAATGGTTTTTCCCTCCCTAATGAGAACGAAGCACAAGTAATTCAGCAGTACCCGACCGTCTATTCGCTCTTCCAAGTACCTAAATATATAACCTTATTGTAGTTCTGCTGACTTGAGTAACAAAGATTTTAGTGTATTGGGCTTTTAGCAGCCTGTGGCCCAATGTTATGGAGATGGACATTTAGCCCTGGTCTACACTAGGGAGTTATTTTGAAATAGTCCCCCTGATTTCGAAATAACAAGTGGAATGTCCACACTAGCAAGCCCATTATTTTGAAATAATGAGCTGGTTCTGGAATAACGGACTGATATCTGTACTCCTGCTTTGCTTGGGGAAAAAGTTTATTTCAAAATAGATATTTCGGGAGTTATTTCGAATTTAATTATTTCAAACTGATTTCCTAATGTAGACATGCCCCTAGGGATAAATATGCTGAGTATGAAAGGGCCAGCTTTAGAAACCTGAAATGTGAGATGAAATAGTCTGTCGCCCAGCCCATATAGGCCGGGGAGTTGGCAGATCATTGAGAGTTACGGGCTTGGTTCCTTGACGTTCTGAGTATTGGCTACTGCCGTTGATTTCACAGGGCTCAAGCAACTGGAACTCCTTGCGTGGGTTTCAGGTGCCACTGGTGTAAGAGTTAGTGGAAGTACGATGCAGATGATGGTGCTGTGACGTTTTCCAGGGAGCCATCTGAACTGCTGTGTCCCCTTAGCACTCCAACCTAGGTTGCCTTTTACACTGCTTTGCTGATGAGCAGCAGTTCCCTTCTCTCCCCTCTTTTCTGTTGGCTCCCAGCCACCAGCATGCAGCATCTCTCCCAGCTGAATGCAAGACAGCTGTGCCCCGCCATCCGTGTATGCCATGCACGGAGACACCCACTATCCCTCCGCGCCAGCCTTGCTCCCCAGAAATGTGCATCTTATGCTGGTCAGTAGCTCCCTGCACAGTGCAACCTCATAGATCAGTGGTTCCCAAACTTTTCGGCATCACGCCCCCCTTCTTGATTTTTGGGAAAAAAAAAAAAAAGGCAGCAAAATGTGTTGGGGAAAAAAAAGGAACTGAGCGGGGCAGCAAAACTTGATGAGGGGGGAGGCTGGGTTGCCTCGCGCCCCTCCCCCCTGGGAATTTCTTCACCCTCCCCCCCAGGGGGCATGGCCACCAGTTGGGGAACCCATGTCATAGGTAGTTTGTCATTCCAGCAGCAGGTACTGAGCGCACACCAAGCTTGTTGAACTAAGTAGAGATTCCCAAGCACTCCTGCCAAAGCACATGAGGAATTAGTGCAGAATAGTTTTTGCTTTGTAAGGTTGCACCCTAAGCTCATTCCCTACTGTCATCCCCACATTGAGACGCTCTATGTGCCATGTGTGGCCCCTGTGAAGTCCGTGGGACCATTTGCAGGAGTGTGTGAAGTTAAGCACAGTGTAACTTTTGCAGGATTGGAGCCAATTACTTTTTTTCTTCTCCCTGCTGTGGTTTTTGGAAAAACCCTTCTTTGCCATAGGACGTGGCTCTCTCCTTTCTTGATAGTACTAGTGGGCATAAGGGAATGAACTTTGGAAGCTGCAAGGCATAGCTACTTCACGTTATATCTCACTGTTTGTTTTCAGACGTTATATACTCACATTGTGACGGACATCAAGAATATAAATGCTAAGCACAAGAACAATAAAGTGAATACAGTAAGTAGGCTGGCTTCCAAAGTTCCTTTGAATGAATGGTTTTTGTTATGAAAGCTTTTTCAAACTCTCATTGTTTTCCCAACTTCTTCTTCTAAAGATGCTGCAGAACTTCATGTATACTATGTTAAGAGACAGCAATCCTACCGCAGCCAAGATATCTCTGGATGTGATGATTGAACTGTATAGAAGGAACATTTGGTGAGTTTGATGTCTCAGTATTGGCATCTCAGAATTATTCTGGGGCAACCCAGTGTGGATAAAAAAATTACTTAAAATAGACTTTTTACTTTTAAATTAAAATATTAAGGCCGGAACACACTACAATGTATTAAAATAATTAAGCACAAAAAATAAAATAAGGCAGCAAAGATGTTCTGCTTAAATTATAAGAAAGTCAGACCACTGAGCTGGTGTGGAAGTCACTGGCTAAGCACTCAGAACTCAAGTTTATTTACGGGTTAAATCAGCTTTTGACAGCAGTAGCATCTTTTGCAGGTGCCATGAGATTATTTTCTTCTTTTCAGTTATTCAAAATTTAGAAACAAATTGGGAGTTGGAAAAGTGGAAAAGCTTGTCCTCTTCCAAACTATGAATAAAAATGAAGTGTGGAAAAATGAGATCTAGTTCTAAAATCTTGAGGACATGGTGTCTAGAAACAATCAGTTCACTTACTACAGATGATACTGTTTAAGTTGAATAAATCAGTTCGTTTTAAATGCAAAACATGTTTTGATAAACTTTCTAAGAAGTTTTTTCCTTTTGCATGTTTAAGGTAGCTTTAACTAATAAAAACATTTTAAAATGCTGTTTTGTGCATTTTAATTTATTTTGAATTTCCATCCAAATGACAAGTTAAAAAAAATCTAATAGGAAATGTCACTCGCTGCTTTCTAATGTAATAGAAAATGTAAAAATTAAGATTCCAAATAAATGCATTTAAGCCAGTGGTCCCCTACCTTTTGGGGCTGCCGGGCACCCAGGGACGGTGCTGCACATGCGCTGCATGCCCGGGGCGATCCTGGAGCACAAGAATGGCTCGGGCTGGCCCTGGTCACTAGGCGGGCGCCATAACACCTCCGGGCACCGTGTTGGGGACCACTGATTTAAGCTATACAGTATAATTGCTTAAATAAATGTGTGTAGATGTAGTGCATCCTCCTGGTTGGCAAAAAGAAGCACCAAATGCAGTGTAAAGACTATATTGTGTTGCAAATCAACATGCTTTAATGGTTCCCAAACAATAAGAATCATCAAGCAAAACCTGTACCTATACATGCGTTCTTGAGCCTCTCCATTGATGCTTTAAATCTTCCGTACAGTTCTGCTGTGGGGTAAGTCATGAAGTCAAAAGGTGGCTGATGTCCAAGCCCTTGTGTATGCTTTCGGCAGTGTGTGTAGTACATGTAGCTCCATGCAATTGTGTCTGTTTCTCCAGTGTGTACTTAGACAAAACATACGCACTTTTGTGTATCTAGTCTGATCATATTTGTGTAGGAAGAATGACAACAAATGGCATAGAGAAACATAACCTCTTGGTTCAGTTTTGATATCACTGATGAAAGCAGCTGGTATTGTGGGATTTGATTCTAATGCATTACATTTCCCAGGATGTCTTATTTTATGTCACTTTAAGAATTTTTCAAAATCAGTAAACTACTTGTTGTTATAAATGGTGAAGATACATTAAATATTTTGCTTTATTCCAGGAATGATGCTAAAACAGTCAATGTTATCACAACGGCCTGCTTTTCCAAAGTCACAAAGGTATGCCAGTATGTTTTAAACACCCAGGGAATGGAAATTGCACATGACTTTGAACAGAACGTTATTGTTCTTTCAAAAGTTTACAACTGAACAGTGACTTTATGCAGCATTGAAACTTTGCTATGCAGAAGAAAAATGTTGCTTATGACTGTTGTTAAAATAGAACCAGGACAGAGTTTCCTTGTCTAGTCAAAACTTTTTAAGACTTTCCCTTTATTTTTAATAGTTTACATTTAGCACATTGCTGTACTGTATTGGCTTTTTTGGTCTCTGCTGCTGCCGCCTGATAACATACTTCCAGTTCCAAATGAGATGTGGGGTTGACCAGTCAGTTTGTAACTCTGGTGTTTGTAACTCTGAGATTCTACTGTAATTATTCCCCAAGGTGTTTCATTTAACTTTTGTCTTCAAAGAGAACAGCTTAATTTATTTCTGATTTGGAGAAATAAGTTGGTCAGCCGCAATGGAAGTTAGTAGCCCAGCGGTTGCTGGCTGGCGTGAGAGTCCATGTCCTCATGTGTTGGGCCGTGCTGGTCTAAAGTGACTTTCAGGAGCACTGAGCAGCACTCTTGCACTTTCTCAGCTCAGCCTTGAAAAAAACCGGTACCTTCGCTGTCTGTTCTCAGCAACAGCCCTGTGTCAGATTTTGCAGTGGGGTTGGTTCTAGAAACACCTAGGATGCCATGGGCTGGGACCTTATATGATAAAGGCCCATACTCTGTTTTTTAAAACCATCTCATGAAACTGAGTGCAAGAGCTCAAGTTGCTGCCAGTTACCATGAGTGGCCTTACGGTCAGAGCAATAAAATCAAAATTGTCCTACAGGTTTAACTTCTCTAGTCCAGCACCCTCAGGACCTGACCAGTGTTGAACCAAAGAATTTGCCAGATCACAGGAGGTCATATTGTCTAGCAGCATTACCAACACTTCCACTGCTTGCTGGGCCCTTGGAGGACAGTGAGGAGTAAATTAGAACTAAATAATAGCACAGAACACTGAGAGCTAGGACTGGTGGCTGTAAACAAACTTTATGTGAAAGCAGGAAACTTGCCCACACGGGTGTGTCTAATCTACATGGCTCCATTGATGGAGCCATGTAGATTAGGCTGATCGGCAAAGGGAAATGAAGCCGCGATTTAAATAATCGCGGCTTCATTTAAATTTAAATGGCTGCCGCGCTGAGCC